TCTCTCTCTCTCTCTCTCTCTCTCTCTCTGGTCTAGAACACTGATCATCTGCACTGCTGCACTTCCTCTAGTCTCCCTCCCTCACGGTGTCAGCACCACACTAAAGCTGTGTTTGAATACTCATACTAACAACACTATCTGTACTATTTGTGAGTATGTAGTATGCTTATTGGTCATAGTATGGATATAATTAGTATGCCAAAAGATCCCGGATGTCGTACTACATTAGCCAAAATACAAAGTATACAAGCAGTGGACACTATTTCCGTGCTTTTAGGGCCCATAATGCAATTCTTCAGAAAATGGGCGTGGCTTCACAACGTTTTCAGATTTTAAGAAAATGGTGGAAAATATGCAGCCGAAGTCGGACGAGAGCGGATTCAAATTCATCGCTTTAACTAATTATGACAAATGTTAAGAAAATGTTTGAGCAATGTAATAAAAGTTATAAAACCCAACGCTCTGAATTTACCGACGCCCAGAGAGCACTCCAGATTGAATTTACGAACACACCCGAAGTCGTAAAATGTCTAGCTTTTAATTTTGTTACCCTTACAAGCTAGCAAGAGGTTGCATAGCAACAGCATCAATTTCCGGAAGACAGGTGTAGCATTAGAACACTCAACTGAAAGGATACCGTTCGTTTACAGTATACTAAGATGAACTAATAGTATATAGTATGCAGTATGTACTCATTAAGTATGTAGTATACAGTATATTAGCATGGGTATTCCAACACAGTTTAAGACTAACACAGCATACATCATGTCCAAGACAAACAGCATCCCCAATACACCCAAAGTCCCCCTAGATTAACCCAGTAGAAACCCCATGCCAATACACACACTGCAGAATCACTAGACAGTGAGATGTGCTGGATGGCTGAGTGTTATGAGGGATGGCAGCGAAATAACCCTTAAAAAGATGATTGAGTTTTCTTCTGTGAGTGTCCTCTTCCTCCCAATAGAGTACTTAGCAGACTCTACCTCTCAGTCTCCCGCAGATGTAGTTAGGAATAGCAGACTCTGTCGCCCACTCTCACAGACAGGTCACCGGCCGGCCAGCCAGCTCTCCCCTTTGGCAGTAAGGTTCACACACGACTCTCTCAGAACTGCCTGCCAATCTGATGCAGCTACTCACTAAGAACGGGCCCCTCTTCTCTCTCTGGCTCCCCCTCTATATTAGTATCGCTCTCTCTCTGTAGTTAGAATATACACTGAGTGTAAAAAAAACATTAAGAACACCTTCCTAATATTGAGTTGCACCCCTTTTTGCCCTCAGAACAGCCTCAATTCGTCGGGGCATGGACTCTACAAGGTGTCGAAAGCGTTCCACAGGGCTGCTGGCTCATGTTGACTCCAATGCTTCCCACAGTTGTGTCAAATTGGCTGGATGTCCTTTGGGTGGTGGACCATTCTTGATAAACACAGGAAACTGTTGAGCGTGAAAAACCCAGCAGTGTTGTAGTTCTTGACACTTAAACCGGTGCGCCTGGCACCTACTACCATACCCCGTTCAAAGGCACTGAAATATTTTGTCTTGCCCATTCACCCTCTGAATGGCACACATACACAATCTATGTCTCAAGGCTTAAAAATCCTCCTTTAACCCAGCTCCTCCCCTTCATCTACACTGATTGAAGTGGATTTAACAAGTGACATCAATAAGAGATCATAGCTTTCACCTGAATTCACCTGGTCAGTCTATGTCATGGAAAGAGCGGGTGTTCTTAATGTTTTGTGCACTCTGTGTATTAGTGATGATCTACACTTCTCTCTCTGGCTGCCTCTCTCATCTTCTCTCTCTGGCTGCCTCTCTCTCTCCTCTTCTCTCTCTGTGGCTGCCTCTCTCTCTCTTCCCTCTCTGGCTGCTTCTCTCTCTCTTCCCTTCTCTCTCTCTGGCTGCCTCTCTCTCTCTTCTCTCTCTCTGGCTGCTTCTCTCTTTCTTCCCTTCTCTCTCTCTGGCTGCTTCTCTCTCTCTTCCCTTCTCTCTCTGGCTGCTTCTCCCTCTCCTCTTCTCTCTCTCTGGCTGCCTCTCTCTCTCTTCCCTTCTCTCTCTCTGGCTGCCTCTCTCTCTCTTCCCTTCTTTCTCTGTGGCTGCCTCTCTCTCTGGCTGTCTCTCTCTCTCCTCTCTCTGTGTCTGCCTCTCTCTCTGGCTGCCTCTCTCGCTCTTCCCTTCTTTCTCTGTGGCTGCCTCTCTCTCTGGCTGTCTCTCTCTCTCCTCTCTTTGTGTCTGCCTCTCTCTCTCTTCCCTTCTCTCCCTGTGGCTGCCTCTCCCTCTCCTCTTCTCTCTCTCTGGCTGCCTCTCTCTCTTCCCTTCTCTCTCTGGCTGCCTCTCTCTCTCTTCCCTTCTCTCTCTGTGTCTGCCTCTCTCTCTGGCTGTCTCTCTCTCTCCTCTCTCTGTGTCTGCCTCTCTCTCTGGCTGTCTCTCTCTCTCCTCTCACTCTGTGTCTGCCTCTCTCTCTGCCTCTCTAGCTGCTGCTTTTCTCTCTCTTCCCTTCTCTCCCTGTGGCTGCCTCGCTCTCTGTAACTCTGTCGTTCTCTCCCTCGCTGTAGTTAGGGAAATGGGATTTGAGGCCAGTGGTGGGGTTTCCATGATTCCACGCCCCTTTGAAAGCCCAAATGTCTCTCTGTGTGATCTAGTCCGTCTATTGGGGAGTTGGAGTGATACAGCGCATTTCAATATGGCAGTGAGGTTCACACGACTCTCTGAGAGCTGCCAATGTGATGCATTTCTCTCTCTCTTTCTCTCTCTCTCGATCTCAATTTGCTGAAATGAACAAATCTAAAAATACAACCTTCCTTTCCCCAAGTCAACTACTCCCATGATTTCTGAAAGGCTGCACATCAATATGATAGGAGCTCCATATGGAAATGTATTGCAGTGTGACAGGTTACTGATCAGCTATCCTGACATGAATACATGTGATTCATCTGATCATGACAAAGTATCTGGTTGACTTTGAAATATGTTAAATACTTTTGATGCAAATGTATACGTTATTTCAACAAATAACTTCGATGCATACACTCAATATCTAAAAATAGGCCTATTGCTATCCGACTACCTAGCTCTACTTGAGGAGGTGACACAGAGCACTCAGCAACACTCAACACCAACGGGGTACAGGGTGTGCTGTATGGGGCTCTCATGTCAATTATTAACATGGTCACAGGACATGCTGTATGGGGCTCTCAAGTCAATTATTAACATGGTCACAGGACATGCTGTATGGGGCTCTCAAGTCAATTATTAACATGGTCACAGGACATGCTGTATGGGGCTCTCATATCAACTCTTAACATGGTCGCAGGACATGCTGTATAACTCTGTCTTCTCTTCACATGTCCACCTGAGTGGAAGGGACACCTGTCTCTACATAGCAGCAGACGGATATGAGTTAATACATGAAACCTTGAATGAACGGTTCCATAATCAATCAAACAATGATTACAGACATGACAGAGTGGAAATGTGTTGTTCAGCTTTTATACGTTTTTTTTTAATAAGGTCAGATATGACAGAGAGAGGCCAAGTTCTTGCCTGTTTGCTATTGGCTGGCAACACACAGACAGATGAGTGGACTGTGCTGTTGACGTCATGTGATCTCTTATTGGGTGTTAAAAGTACCCTGTTCTGCATGTAGCCCAGCCCCCTGTTCTGCATGTAGCCCAGCCTCCTGTTCTGCATGTAGCCCAGCCTCCTGTGGGCGGACAGATAAATACACTCTGTATTGAACTACATGACATCACGTCCTCCACTACTACAGGTCCCCTGTAGCTCAGTTGGTAGAGCATGGCGCTTGCAACGCCAGGGTTGTGGGTTCGTTTCCCACGGGGGGGCCAGTATGAAAAATGTATGCACTCACTCACTGTAAGTGGCTCTGGATAAGAGCGTCTGCTAAATGACTAAAATGTAAAATGTAAAACAAGAATGCTTTAATCACAGGACACTATGATTAGCAGGTGGAACATGTTACATTATCTTCTGAGCTTGAATTGTAATAATCCTGAAATACTCATCATTATCGCTGAGCTTGATATCTTCGACATGAGGGTGAATGTTTGATTTGGGTTTTTCACATCTGACAGTGGAAGTTTGACGTGTTCTCAGTCAAACATCATAGTCATCACTGACCTCATTCAGAGAGTAAACCAGAGTAGAACAGTTTAATCTTCCATTCAAAATGTCAGCCAGTGAGCAAACAGATCGAGAACGGCGAGATGAAATTAGAGAGGATGGAGAGATGAGAACTATGAGAGTCAGAAGCACACAGCTGAACAGATAACAGCCTCCATTGTATCAAGGAGTAAGTCCGGGAGATGGACAGAACAAACAAATGAGGGATGTTGCTAGGACACAATCACTTTCAAAAGCTCTAAGAACACAGAGAATAAATCATGTAACGATTCATTATTTGGGCTGATTCTGCTCCACATCACCCTGGGCCTTTCGCTTACGCAATGACACAGTCTTTTTTCCTTACAGCAAATTAGCAATTAACTGACTGGGAACAAGGTCACATGTGGGACTGCTTTCATACAAGGCCAAGGCAGAGTGGTCTAACCTTCATGTTAACCTGCTGTTCCGTTCTCTAATTACCTGTCTGTACACACTAACTCAGAGGAATGCCCCTCCATCTGCGTGTTTATGCTTTACAGTGTGTGTGTGTGTGCTCACCCCAGCCCACTTCACCGGGGCTCCCTCCCTCCACAGTTAATAAGGTCTCTCTCTCTCTCTCTCTCTCTCTCTCTCTCTCTCTCTCTCTCTCTCTCTCTCTCTCTCTCTCTCTCTGTCTCTCTCTCTCTCTCTCTCTCTCTCTCTCTCTAGTGACTAACACTCTCTCTCTCTCTCTCTCTCTCTCTCTCTCTCTCTCTCTCTCTCTCTGTCTCTCTCTCTCTCTCTCTCTCTCTCTCTCTAGTGACTAACACTATCTCTCCCCCTCTCTCTCATACACCACAGTGACTAACACTATCTCACACCCTCCCCTCTCAGGAACCATGGTGAGCAAGGCAGAGGGTGGTAAATGCATGCTCACCAACTCCGAGTCGGACTCCGAGGCGGCGCCCCCCCCCTCCCCGTCCGCCTCGCTGGCCCTGGAGGTCAAATACTCCTTCCTGGACACCAGCAGCAGGTCACAGCAGCAGGTGTGTGTGTGCATGGGTGTGTGTGTGTGTGCATAGGTGTGTGTGTGTGTGTGTGTGTGTGTGTGTGTGTGTGTGTGTGTGTGTGTGTGTGTGTGCGCGCATGGGTGTGTGGGGGGGGGGGGTTGCATGGGTGTGTGTGCGTGCGTGCGTGCGTGCATGCGTGCGTGTGTGTGTGTGTGTGTGTGTGTGTGTGTGTGGGGTGTCTGGGTGATTTAGAATAACTATAATAACAAGACCGCAAAAGAGGAATGTTGAATGAAAATGTGACAATAAAGTTGCGTTGTAGGTAAGGAAGAGGAACAAGGCCCTCCAGGTGAGGTTCAAGGACATCTGTGATGCGCAGAAGGAGCAGAGAGAGGCCGCTCTACAGACGGCTGGGAAGGGGGGCAAGCCTGTCTCCTACAAGGTCTGTAACCAACTGGGCTTTTGGTTTTGGAACATATATTCATGTACTATTGTACTATGACCGTTGATTATAAGCAAACACGGTCCTAGGGACTACAAGGGGTGGTTTAAAAAAAATAATGTTTATCATGATATAAGTATTTGAATCAGCTGTGAAGTACTACGTCAAAAAAATTAATTGCACCCCTTGAGGTCCCCAGGACCGAGTTTGGGAGACCCTGGTTTATAGTGTCTCAAAACTCTGAGTGGTCCTCGATGTTGTTTTTACTTTGTAATGTGTTGTGTTGAAAGAGTAACACTTTACCAAAAACTCTAAACCCTCTTCTAAAGGTGGCATACCGCAAGTACATGACGGTGCCCGCCCGGCGTTCTATCCCCAACGTCACCAAGAGCACGGGCGTCCAGACCTCCCCGGACCCCAAGGGCCGTTACAAGACGTTCCCCTTGGAGAGGAAGAAGCGTTCCAGCCACACCGTTAAGCATGTGGCGGTGGTGGAGAGCCACCAGGGACACAACAACAGCTCGGTCCTCCACGTCAAGCACCCGAAAGCTGTGGAGGGTTCAGGGGACGGGGACGGGGAGGAGGGCGCCTGCGGTGGAGGGGGAGTGCAGAGTACCAGGGCCCTGTTGCATACTACAGAGTGCAAGGCTACTGTGGAGCAGCACTGTTCGGACGGACCAGATGGCGTGCTCTACTCCGACTCTCTGATGCTCACAGAGTGCCTCCCTACCTCCAACCCACGGGCCACGGACTACCAGATCTGCAGCGTCAAATCCAAACCCCGGAAAGGATTGGAACACAGGGAACTGGACTCCTCGGACAGTTGCTCGGACCGTTCGGCCAGTAAACGGCAGCTGCTCAACTTCCAGGAGGAGCCAGGCTCTAGCAGGACTCTGCCGGGGGACAGGAGGGGGTCCTCCCCAGCCTCTAAGGTGACCGGCCCCATCGCCTGGAACTCTCTGACCCAGGTGGAGTGTCTGGAGAGCCCGACAGCACGGAGCAAACGAAAGAAGGGGCTACCGCTCAACGGACTACAGTCTCAGACTCTACCGCGGGCTGCTGGGTGGACTACCCAGGCACAGTGCCATGAACCAGCACCGTTCTCACCACAGACGCTGTCACCCCGGACCATGGGGGAGACGGTGGGCTGTGGGGGTAGCAGGGTTGAACCAGCGACTGTAGCGACTGCGGGGGGAGTTAACCCCGGGGAGGCCTGTAAGCAGATAGTACCGGTAGTGACTCGGGGGGGTGGAGGTGGGGATGTGAAAGCACAGCTCCAGGCCATGGAGAACCTGGCGACTCAGGGAGGGGGTGGAGGTGGGGATGTGAAAGCACAGCTCCAGGCCATGGAGAACCTGATCTCCTCCAGCCAAGAGACCATCAAGGTACTACTGGGAGTCATCCAGGAGCTGGAGAAGGGAGAGGCCCACAGAGAGGGGTAAGGAGACTTTACTATGACTTCATATCTGATGTGTGGGTCCTATAACCTACTGGTTAACAGGACAGTAGGCTGGGTCCTATAACCTTCTGGTTAACAGGACAGTAGGCTGGGTCCTATATCCTACTGGTTAACAGGACAGTAGGCTGGGTCCTATAACCCACTGGTTAACAGGACAGTAGGCTGGGTCCTATAACCCACTGGTTAACAGGACAGTAGGCTGGGTCCTATAACCCACTGGTTAACAGGACAGTAGGCTGGGTCCTATAACCCACTGGTTAACAGGACAGTAGGCTGGGTCCTATATCCTACTGGTTAACAGGACAGTAGGCTGGGTCCTATAACCCACTGGTTAACAGGACAGTAGGCTGGGTCCTATATCCTACTGGTTAACAGGAGAGTAGGCTGGGTCCTATATCCTACTGGTTAACAGGACAGTAGGCTGGGGATATGTTTCTGTAATCAGAGGTTAAAGGTCAAGGCCCACAGAGAGGGGTAAGATGTTACTAGGCTTATCATTATTTCTTATGCCTTAGCTAGTCTTTGTTCCTTTGTGATAGTGATCAGGGGGCTATATAAACTAGTTATACTGGTTAACATGAGAGGCTGGGTTGTGATAGTGATCAGGGGGCTGTATAAACTAGTTATACCGGTTAACATGAGAGGCTGGGTTGTGATAGTGATCAGGGGGCTATATAAACTAGTTATACTGGTTAACATGAGAGGCTGGGTTGTGATAGTGATCAGGGGGCTATATAAACTAGTTATACTGGTTAACATGAGAGGCTGGGTTGTGATAGTGATCAGGGGGCTGTATAAACTAGTTATAACCGGTTAACATGAGAGGCTGGGTTGTGATAGTGATCAGGGGGCTATATAAACTAGTTATACTGGTTAACATGAGAGGCTGGGTTGTGATAGTGATCAGGGGGCTATATAAACTAGTTATACTGGTTAACATGAGAGGCTGGGTTGTGATAGTGATCAGGGGGCTGTATAAACTAGTTATACTGGTTAACATGAGAGGCTGGGTTGTGATAGTGATCAGGGGGCTATATAAACTAGTTATACCGGTTAACATGAGAGGCTGGGTTGTGATAGTGATCAGGGGGCTATATAAACTAGTTATACTGGTTAACATGAGAGGCTGGGTTGTGATAGTGATCAGGGGGCTATCTATACTAGTTATACCGGTTAACATGAGAGGCTGGGTTGTGATAGTGATCAGGGGGCTATCTATACTAGTTATACCGGTTATCATGAGAGGCTGGGTTGTGATAGTGATCAGGGGGCTATATAAACTAGTTATACCGGTTAACATGAGAGGCTGGGTTGTGATAGTGATCAGGGGGCTATATAAACTAGTTATACTGGTTAACATGAGAGGCTGGGTTGTGATAGTGATCAGGGGGGTATATAAACTAGTTATACCGGTTAACATGAGAGGCTGGGTTGTGATGTGTTGCTGTAATATTTAAGAGGCACTACATCAGAGGGGTCCAATATATTTTCCAACTGTATGTATATCTGAAATGAATGAACACTCTAGAACGCCCTTCTAGCCAATCAGAACGGAGTATTCAACAATGCTGTGGTGTAAGTGAGGGGAACCATGACAGACACCGCAGCGTCACATTATGAATCATTGGAGATATGATGACTCCTCCGGTCATGATGTGTTTCAGCTACAGTAGAAAAGCCCTTGGGATGAGCATGTATTAGTGGAGATCTACTTCAGAACAACTGGATTAGTTCATCTGTGTTTTATTGGCGGTAAACAGTGTTCAGAGCTTTATTAAACACAACGGAACAGTACAGTAGTTAAAAAAAGGGATGTGAGGAAACCACAGAGGCATGTTTAGCGCACGTTCCCTGTCATATTGATGTTTGATCTTTAGAGAATAATATCCTTTATCCAAATAACTGAAGGGTATTAACTGGGATGAGAGGAGGCAACAGCGTAGCATCTATCTAGCCACTGAGAGTCATGAATGTGCTCTTGAAAGGACCATATCCGTTTGTGATTTTCTCTAGGTATCAACAGCAGAGCTGTTCCGTTAGCACGGCAACACATCATCTCGCTCAATTTGTCCCAAGTGGTTTGATGACCCATGTTTTATACAGTCTGCCAGTCAGGTTATATCATGTAATCACAACAATAGGGTTGGTGTTTTATTGAGCCACTTCAGATCCATCATGGCATTTCACTAAAGGAGCTTTTTCTTGAGTTCTTATTTCCCGACTACCCTACAGTGCTGAGATGACAGGACAATCTTGGGTGGGGTGTGCGTGCGTGTGTGTGCGTGTGTGTGGGGTGTGCGTGCGTGTGTGTGTGTGCGTGTGTGTGTGTGCGTGTGTGTGTGTGTGTGTGGCGCTTGCAGCGCCAGGGTTGTGGGTTCGATTCCCACGGGGGGCCAGAATGAAAAAAAAAAATGTATCCACTCACTAACTGTAAGTCGCTCTGGATAAGAGCGTCTGCTAAATGACTCAAATGTTGTTGTTTTTTAAACCTAAAAATGTAAGAGACTTGGGTGATGTGAGTGGGACACAGCGCCCTTGGCTCCGGTCCAGGACGGTGATTAAAAACTAAAACTAAACGACTTAATGACTTCCCTTAGCAGGAGATCATTAGCTAGACGCAGAGCTAGGTAGACTGATGTACATGTAAGTGGCCTGGCAGCTCTCTGTGTGTGTGTGTGTGTGTGTGTGTGTGTGTGTGTGTGTGTGTGTGTGTGTGTGTGGTTGGTATTTCCATCCTTGTGGGGACCTAAAATCTCCAAAAGTCCTCATAAGTATAGTAAAACAAGGAAAATTCTCCCTCATGAGGACATTTCCCACATCCCCATGAAGACAAAAGCCATTTTAGGCTTAAGAGTTAGGTTTAGGGTTACGGGTTAAGATTAGGGTTATGTTAGGGTTATGTAAGGGTTAGGGGTTAGGGGTTAAGGGTTAGGGGTTAGGGAAAAAAGGATTTGGAATGGAAATTAATTTGAGGTCCTCACGAGGATAGAAGAACATAACGTGTGTGTGTGTGTGTGTGTGTGTGTGTGTGTGTGTGTGTGGCACTTAGGGATGTGTGAAACGTACTCCTCAGCCTGAAGTGTCCCTCTTGTGTCGCCTCATTAGCTAGCTCCTGAGGTGGATCGATCGGATAAGACGCTTGAGGAGGGTGGTCACGTGTGTTTGGGAGGCAGAGGTCCTGAGTTGGCGCCGGGTATGGGCCGAATAAGGAGGAAGTGGTACTATCTAAGCAAGCAGCGTGACATCCTTTACGCCTGGCCTTAAAAGGCAGCTAACCCTAGCGCTTAACAGGATTACCTGGAAGCACCGTTATCTTGACCCTTCACAGATACATTATCTCCAGCAGTAATAAGACAAAAGCAGTTAGCCTACCACACACTTAAACTGAGGGACATGGCATCGCCACGAGCCACAGGATGAACCACATATACGATGACAACAGTTACTGTGTGACCTGGAAGACCTCAACACTTGACTGTTTTATAGGACTTGTGTCGTAGTAATATCAAAGTAGTAATCGTAAGCCTAACGTTCATTCACTGTAGGTCCTCTGTAGCTCAGCTGGTAGAGCACGGCGCTTGTAACGCCAAGGTAGTGGGTTCGATCCCCGGGACCACCCATACACAAAAATGTATGCACGCATGACTGTAAGTCGCTTTGGATAAAAGCGTCTGCTAAATGGCTTATTATTATTATTATTATTCACTGTCGGGTGAAACCTTGTAACCAATTTTCATATCGTGTATTTACATGTATTGAAAGCAGTAACTCCCCTCAATGTACTCTGAACATTTCATGATTCTAGGACCAAGAACATGTATTCAAAATAGCTTCTTGGAAGTTTCATAATTGTATGTTTGTTAACGGGAAAATATGGCTTTTTTTTTTTTTTTTTTTTTATTCTTGAAAAGTTTCTGTTTTGGAGAAAATAGGTTTTCATCCAACAGCGACGATGGTTAGAGTATCTCATGTGCTAAATGTGGTAAATGTTATATGAAGAAGCAGTAACTTTACATTGTATAATATACATTGAGCAATGTAAATGTCTGATACCAAGTCTAACAGCTGGTAGAATGTGGATATACTGTATACAGTCCATGTTTATTTATTTATTTCAGAGCCAGATAGATAATTGTAATTTTTTTTCGCAACCCAAGCAGAGATTCTAATGTTTGTGTTGTCACGCTACATTAGCCACACCTCCCTCTCTTCAGGAAATGTCACCAACCCAAATAGGAACACCCCCAGGGCTATAGGTGAATACGTCTGTTACATTACCGAATGCATGGCATAACATCCATTTCTCAAGCAAAGTGAATGTGTCGCGTCAGAGTGCATTTCGTCCGGGGGACGTATATATGCCCTTTAGACGTGATGTGCAATGTTCTGCAGCAAAACCATGTTACACATGATAAAACAGTAGAGAAACTGGGATAGGAAACAAAATGGAAGATCAAAAGTATGGAACATGTATATTTCACAGACAGTTGCATGTCAGAAGCAGGGGAAGAGGAAGTGACGTCCAAGACATTGACAGTGTTTCTCCTAAAGAAGAAAAGAGACCAGGTACACCATCTATACAAAAGTATGTGGACACCCCTTCAGATTAGTGGATTCGGCTATTAAAGCCACAACCGTTGCTGACAGATGTATAAAATGAAAACACACAGCCATGCAATCTCCATAGACAAACATTGGCAGTAGAATGGCCCGTACTGAAGAGCTCAATGACTTGCAACCTGGCACCGTCATAGGATGCCACCTTTTCCAACAAGTCAGTTTGTAAAATTTCTACCTTGCTGTTATTGTGAAGTGGAAACGTCTAGGAGCAACAACGGCTCAGCCGCGAAGAGGTAGGCCACACAAGCTCACAGAACGCGACCGCCGAAAAGCGTAGTGCGTAAAAATTGTCTGTAAATCGGTTTCAACACTCTCTACCGAGTTCTATACTGCCTCTGGAAGCATCGTCAGCACAAGAACCGT